TTTTATGAGGGCCATACTTACACTTCCAAAGCATCTCTTCCATTTCTTCTTCCTTCCAAAACAAGATAGTCGTTAAGAGGGCTCCGAACCTAGATAGAACAGAAGTATATTCATCCGTTTTTGTATTTACACCGTTAATTAATTTATACTTACTCTTTCAAACAACAGCCATGTCTATTAAACGTGGTCGTTAAATTATTGTACTCACCATTGTTTCACCTGGCTCAAAGATGTAACATTAAGGGAGACGACACGGCGGAATAACTTAAAACATAATATTTATTACAACGAAATATAACCAAAATCAACAATCACAAAAGTCAGTATGCCTGTCGGCCTGTCAGTAATAACAATCAGTATGAAACGCAGGTGAATAGATGCACAAAGTGAAGTGTGGTCAGCGCTAGTGAATGGATGCAAAACAAAACATAACGCCACAATTGGAGCTCCTGCTGTCATTGGCCATTGCCTCAACTCTCATGCAGATTGTGCCCATTGTAAGTAGTCAGAGTGTTTGTATCATGAAGTTTATATTAAATCCATTGTATTCTTTATTAACCTTAATAAATTGGCACCATCTCTTCTCGTTCTAACAGTACATGATATCTGTCCACACCTCATAGTCTGCCTTTCTTTCCGTGTTGATTTTTATTGAACACATCTGTCTAAAAAGCAAGAGTCTGGAAATGACAAGTTTACCTTGTCATGTGATAAATCAGATCTTCAATTAATTTGGCCAAATCAGATCACTTAAAGGTGTTTACACCAAGAACAAGAAATATAATGGTAAATATTTTAGCATCCACATCAACAGACAATAATGGTCTGTTTACTGTTATACATGCTGCAGTTACAGAATGTTGTTGTCTGCTGTTTGTTGTTGTCAATGTTTTTATTGTTCATCAGCTGGAAAAATCTGTTCTGAAAGAGATTCCAATGATATTGTTCCTCTGTGTCCTTAAATGTTAAATAGCTGCAGTGTGGACTCATCCTTGGTGTGAAGAGGCCTTTAAACTGCTTATAACAATACCGACAGCATGTAATCATATTTAAAATAATTCATATTAATATAGCATGCTATTGAAGAATACAGCTTTTTCTAATGCTGCTTTCCTTTCATTCTGTTAAACTTACACACAAAATTGTTCCTTTCTCTGCCTATTTCTCTTCATCTTATTCCTTTACTCCGTCACTCACTTACACATTTTTTTGTACACATGGGGTCAATAAATATTTTCTTGTTTTACAGCTGAAGACCAAAAACGCAAAGAAAATCAGTCACAGCAAGCCGGTCAAACCAGTCCTTATGAATGAGGAATGAACATGGCCTTCTTGTACCCAAACAGAAAGACAGAGAGCTGAAAAGTTGCACATTTCCATTGGTATGTCTGTTTTCAAGCAATGCAGTAATGTGTGGTACAGCATTGATGTTGATCTCTCAAAAGCAGCAGTTATAGTTACTTCAAGTCAGCAGTTATCATTTTTTCACATATACTGTACATCTGTTTATAGCTCCTAGCAAATCAGCTGTGCATCATCTCTGGAATTTGGGCAGGAAATTACTGAATATGATGAGTACTGACACCTGCACCTGTATTCACCAACACTGTTTCTCTAGAGTTAATATTGACTTATTGTTTTGTCTGTTTGTTTGAAGGAGGATGTAGCCAGTTGATGAAGATATCAATTCAATGGCCACTAAGTGCAGCACTGCTGCCTGAACCCATCAGTTATCTGCTGTGAAGACTGCATTCGCAAACAGCTCTACTGCAACATGCTCGGATGTTAAGGCCCATAAAAGTAAACTTCACAACTGAACAACTGCAAGATAGTTGTGGAGGGATTCTTTTGGCCCATACCTCCAACAACCTCCAACAAGAATCAATGGTAAGTCAAGTGCAACAATTATAAATAAAAATACTATATATTTTCCACACCCTAAATACATGTTCTGACCCTCCAGGACATCTACATCAGGTGATGTGTGAGGAGGACCGTCAGAGACTCCAGCCACCCGAGCTATGGATTGCTCTCACTGTTACCATCAGGCAGATGTTATCGCAGAACCTTCACAGAGCCGAGACAAGTTCTTTCCACAGGCAATCAGACTGAACTGAACTCGTACCAGTAACACCACACACACCCCACCAGCCTCATATGCACTGCACACTATCACTTACACTTACTGGACTCTGACTCACTATTATTCTGCACCCTGACATTCTGTTTGCACTAATTCATACCGTGCTGCACTGCAAAGGTATATGTGTACTGTGATTAATGTGTTTATTATTGTTTTCATTTCACACTCTCTGTATAGTATAATATTTACCATATGTTGTTCTCTACCTGTATTGAGTCCCTTATACATGTGTGTTGCATATATATTCAATACTTTTCATCCATAATGTCATGCTGCAGTTTGCACAAAAGACTTTCACCACCTGTACACTTGCGTTCATGATATTGTGACAATAAAGTGACTTGTTTTGAATTGGTCACATCTTTTGTTCGTCAGTTGAACTGTAGGGTGCTGGATAACAACTGCAAATTGTTTAAGTCATGGAAGAAGAAGATTATGATAGGGACATGGATAAACAAGCAAGAGGAAGAAAACCAGGAGAGCTCTGAAGATCAAATCTGTGCATACACACATTTTATAAATGAGGCCCCAGGAGAGCTCTGATGATGAGAAGGAAACTGAACATGATTCTTTGGTGCTCGAGACATTTCACCATACATGCATTTGGGTGGCTTCATCTGATTAAAATAACATGGTTTTAACATAACCCATTTTTATTTATTTTTTAAATATGATTTTTCTTTATATGCTACTTTAGCTGTCTTTATGATGTATCCTCCAGTAAAGTATTGTACATGGTGTTGGAAAAAGTATGGTGAATATTCTGTATTAGGGATGGTGTTTGGTAAATACACCATTTAATTTTGTAAACAATACACACAATTACAATGAGTGTTTTAATTAAGACATGAACATTTAGTTATATTAAAGACATTCAGTTACATAAAGGCTGAAAGATTCATTAGAAGAGACTGCATGGACTATATTGCTCCAGGCACTACATGCACAACTGAGGGTGATGCACCAGGGAAAGATCAACATGAATCCTGTACTGTATTATAAGCAAGATGAGCATGCACATTACTGATGTTTAGCACCTGAAGATGACAAAAATTCTAAATTTTTGACAAAGAGATACAAATTAGGTCTTTTATATTATGATTCTTTGCACTGCATTAATTGTGTGGCTTTTGCACCATAAACCACACACTGTCTGCACCTTGTCTTACTGAATGACACATTGACTTTGTGCGATAGTACAATGAAGTGTCACAGTATGTATTGGGTGTTTAAATTGGTGTCTTTGTTTACTGTCAACATTGTATTCTTGCTCCTGATTTAATGAAATAAATGGAGCCCATTCCAAAAGGCACTGATCTAGATATTTTTTGGGGTTTATTCTTATTTTAAGATAACTATGACTTGAAACTTACATATTGACAGTTTGTTGTGAATGATGAGAATAGATCTGTGCCTTATCTACAAATACCACAGTAAAACTACGGTTACGATGTAAACCCATAGTAAGTATTGAAGTTATTGTGCTTTATCTACAAATACCACAGTAAAACTACGGTTACTGTGGTAAACCCATAGTAAGGGTTGAGGTTATTGTGCTTTTTCTACAAATACCACACATTATCTACAAATACCACAAATAACTACAGTTACGGTGGGAGAAGCATGGTATATTTTGTGGTTACTGTGCATTGACTACACATGACATGGTCGAGTGACAGTTACGTTACTATGGTAACTGCAATTATGGTAACTGCAGTTTCTGCAATTGTGATTCCTGTGTAAATGCATTTTAAATACTGCCTCTGTGCTGCATTAAATTACTGTATATAGTAAAATTGCTAATGAGAATCCTTGGAAAATAAGCTATGCACACAGGGGTCAAAGGTTTAAGTATCATACTTTTATTCTTAAACAATCCTAATTTCATTGTGTTTTATAATATCAATGCACATTTTATGTATCTCATTATTCATAATGCATATATGATAGTGTTTCATTAAGGTGAAAACATCTGCAAACATGAAAAATAAAGAGTTTTGTTTGTAATGCGAGTGTTCCCTTTGCTCTGTACAGTGTTTTCTTTTCTGGAAACCAAGTTTATCTGGACAATCTTTGCATTGCGTGCATATTTTTACACTCTTTGTCCCATACACGAGTTATTCATTTGATCATTCCTCAGTTAACTACAAACACACTTTCTAAGGACTTATGCTTTTCAAGTCTCTTTGTTTTGTTGCACCTCATTGCTGCATACTTGGGCACAGCTCTCATGCCATTTTATTGTAAGACATGAATGCCAGACTCCTCCTAGTCCACAATCCTGTCCAGGCGACTTCCTGGAAACTCCGTACAGGGGCAACACAACTGGCCTTCTTTGTGCGTTGGACTGGACAGGGTTGGTGTCAGCATCACACGTTTAGGACTAAGGAATCCTGAGTTGTTTGTTAGATTATTTAAGTTTGCTTGAGTGAAAGGGAATTTGTGGATAATTCACAGGAAATCATCTACGTATTATCCAAAGCTTAGCTGTGCATTGTAACATAGATTGTCACACTCCAGCTGAAACCAAGTTGCAGTTTGTAGGTGTTAAGCATACACGCATACAGTGTACTTTTGCTGGACATGTGCATCAAGATGGGCAAGATTTTTGAATAAGTGTTAAAGTGGATATTAACTCATACCAAAATTAATAAGCAGCGAAAGGCTCTAAGAGCCAAAAAGCTTCTGCAATAACTGAGCATACATTCTACATTAACCCTCCTGATATTCCAATAATTGGGATTCATAAAGTGCATTTACCTTTACCTCTCAGGTAATAAAAAAAAATAAAAAAAATAAAAATAAAAAGCCAAAACACTTGGTCAAATCTGCATAATATTCACAAACAGAAAAATTGTAATGATACTGAACAAAGAGAGAAACATTCCCAATTTTCTTGATAATAGTAAATTATAAATAAAGCTAATTTCTTACAACATGAACCCCAAATAATATTCCTATTGTTGTGAATCAAATGACTGTCCATTGAACTTTTTTGCATAAAATGTGAGTTCAGCTCCTGATTGGAACGGTAACATTTATTTCTCTTTCCCCCCTCTGTGTTCTTCTAAAAGTTATCTCAGGCAAGAGTTCAGTTTGTCATCTTATTGTAGCGTGTTGTACTATTCCCGTGGTTTGAGGCGCAAGGGCAAGGGCAAGGGCAAGGGGCTACTCTCTTGTAGTAGCCTCCTGCGTTTGGGCCCTCCTATGTGGAGTCCTGGTTGACCACTTTGCCTCCATTCATTGTTGGGGTTCCTGAGCTTTTCCTGGAGCGTTGCTTCTCTTCAATCTCATGCAGTGAAGGCTCTTTGTACATGCAAACTGCAATACACAAACATATCAATACATTAATACTCATTAATTTCGAATGCATTCATTAAGAGTTATGAGATTTATGGCTGACATCTTATACTTGAGCTCTGCATTTTGGATTTTTATTTAAAAAAAGAAAAATGCACAAATGTTAAATGTTAAAATCAACATGACATTAAAATTGAACATATTTTCTTTATATACACTCTTGGTATTGTTGTGTGCGATTTATCAGTGTATGTTATTCCAAAGGAAAAAATGGTTTGACTTCTTGCATAACTTGCAGCGATTTTTTTATTTTTGTGTCACAAATAAGCCCTCTTATTTTTCAACCATCATCGTAAACCACTAAGGCAAAGCATCACTTTTATCATCTCACATTCTTCTTATTATTATTATAACATAATGGAGACAAGGGGGTGGGCTCTTTTGAGTAAGACTGGTAAGTACTCTTTAAATATCACCATGGCAACTGTTTAGCCAAGCCCTTACAACCATTTAGAGTTCCCTAGCAATCGTGTAGTAAATTGAGCCAGCCATATCTTGGCACCTGAACATCGTAGAATCACAGGGTTGGCCTCTTTTGATTCAAACTGCCAAACAGTCTTTATATATCACTATATAAACTGTGTAAATCGGCCTAGCAATGATTTAGTGCACCCTAGCAACAACATCAAGCCATATCCCAGCACCAGAACATTGCACAGACATGAGAGTTGGCTCTGTTGCAATCACGCAGAAGACTAGTTTTAGACTTAGACTGGCTAGTAGTCTTTAATTATCACCATGGCAACAATCTAGCCATGCTCCAGCAACCATTATCACCATCCTAGCAACCATATAATAAACCAGCCATATCTCTGAACCAGAATAACATACATACCTGGGGATGGGCTCTTTTGACTTAGACTGCCTAGTTGTCTTTAATTATCACCATGGTAACTCTCTAGCCATACCGTAGCAACCAGTGAGAAGTTGTATCTTTTGACTCAGACATCAATAAGCTTTAGGTACCATGCCCTAGCAACTATTTAGACCATCATAGCAACCGCATATCTCAGCACCAGAACATTGGGGTTGGCCTCTATTGACTTGGGGCAGTGTACTCATAGCATATAAACTCTATAGCAACTCCATAGTAACCATCTGTGACAACTAGCAACTGCCTAGCAACCACCCAAAACACCCTTGAGACCACCTAGCAACCACCTTAGCAACTGAAATGCCCTAGTAACCACATAGAACATAATAGCATCTGCCTAGCAACAACCTAGCAAATCACCCAGAACACCCTATAAACCACCCATAAAACCCTAGCAATGACTAGCAACACCCTAGCAGTCACCCAGAACGCCATAGCAATTATATTGCAAAACCCTAGCAACCACACAGAACACCCTAGCAACTGCCTAGCAACCACCCAGAATACCATAGCAACTCCATAACAACACCCTAGCAACCACTCAGAATACACTAGCAACTGCCTGGCAACACCTTAGCAAACACCCTTAACACCCCAGCAACTGCATAGCAACCACATAACAATACTCTAGCAACCCCATAGACTTAACATTGGCACAAATTTTGTGAGAACATATCTCTGGATCAGAAAGTCAGTTGGGACACTTGGGGGTGGGCTTATTTGACTCAGCAAAGCAAGCAGCCAATAACTAATGACATACCAACCTCCTAGACATACCCTAGCTACCAGTTACTGGACCCTAGCAACCACCCATAAACTTCCACTAAAAAAGGATGAGAGAGGGATCTCTATGGATCAGAACATCATAGAGACAAGAAGATGGGTTCATTTTTATTGGTGGCATCACTATTACTTATCACTATTATCTTACATGCTTCTTCTTTTTCCATTTCCATTTTGTCACTTACATTTAGTCATTTAGCATATGCTTTTATCCAAACGACTTACAAATGAGGACAATAGAAGCAATCAAACCAGCAAAAGAGCAATAATATGTACTGTAAGTGCTGTGACAAGTCCCGGTTAGTCTAACGCAGTACACATGACAAGATTTTTTTTCTTAATAATAAATAAAAAGAAAACAAGTTGATAGAACAGAAAAAGACTAGAGAATGCTAGTGTTGAAGGGGTCAATTTCTTTTTATAATAAATAAAAAGAAAACTATTAGATAGAATAGAAAAAAGAATAAAGAACTGTTGTTAGAGGGTCATTTTTTAATAATAATAAAAAAAAAATATATATATATATATATTTTAATAAATTAGAAGAAAACAAGTAGATAGTATAGAAATAGAATAGAGAGGGCTAGTGTTAGATGGTCAAGTGTAGATGGAAGAGATGTGTCTTTAGCTGTTTCTTGACGATGGCCAAAGACTCAGCTGATTGGATTGAGTTGGGCAGGTCATTCCACCAGCAGTGAACATTTCAGGTAAAAGTCAGTGAAAGTGATTTTGTGCCTCTTTGGGATGGCACTATAATGTACCATTTACTAGCAGAACATAAGCTTCTGGAGGGCCCATACATCTGAAGTAGTGAATTTATGTAAAGGGGTGCAGAGCCAGTGGTTGTTTTGTAGGCAAACATTAATGCCTTGAATTTTATGTGAGCAGCTATTGGTAGCCAGTTCAAATTGAGGTGTGATATGGAGTCTTTTGGGCTTGTTAAATGCTAATTTTGCAGCCACATTCTGGATTAGTTGCAGAGGTTTGATAGAACTGGCTGGAAGACCTGCCAAGAGAACATTGCAATAGTCCAGCCTGAACAGAACAAGAGCTTGCACAAGGAGTTGTGTAGCATGTTCTGAAAGAAAGGGTCTGATCTTCCTAGCAATACCAAATTGTGATGAATTGTGATGGGTTAGCTGAAAGCACAAGCAGTTGTGTCTTGGCAAGGTTGAGTTGCAGGTGAAAGAAATGTCTTGCTGGATGAAGGAAGACATTTCTTCATCCAGTACGGAAGTAATGCTTGCTGAGATGCAAGCAGTACTTCCGTTCAAATTTTGGTGCATAACTGATAACAGTTTGTCGTAGACCCACGAGTGAGGTGTCATCTCATTTGGCTTATTGGGGAAAGGTGTGCTATAACTTTTATAAGTGATTGGGTGTATGATGTTCACACAGTGGGCAAAAAATCACATAGATTTAATATTGGACAGAACTTCGAGACATCATATCTCCACATCAAAATTGCAGTTGGGTCTAAAATAATCACGCAAAAGATCACTTTAAAAAAATAAAAGTAAATGCCCAGTGCAGAGTTTTGCCTTTTCTTCAGAAAATATTCATATCGAAGTCATGCATCAATATTATTTCTAATGTATTATTAGAAACCACGCTGTAATGTAAATATTTTTTTTCTTCAGAAAATGTACATATCTAGTTATTAGTGGTGTATGCCACTAGGTGGCGGCCACATAGCCACACCCTAGCAACCATTTAAACGACTCTAACAACCAAATAGCAACATGAAGAAGCCATAGAGACATCGTAGAGACATCTGGGTGGGTTCAGTGGATTCAGCCAGGCAACCAGTCTGTAAGTATCATGGTAAGTGTGTAGCCATTCCCAAGTAGCTATTTATAGCACGCTAGCAACCATACTGCAACATGGACAAGCCATATCACAGCCCCAGAACATCACAGAGACATAGGAATGTGAATATCACTATAGTAACTGTGTAGGCACACCATAGCAACTATAGAGCATCCTAGAAACCATATAACAACCATATCTCAACTCCACAATTTCATACAGACATGGTAGTTGGCTCTCCTGTAATCACACAGAACACCATAGCAACTGTCCAGAGCTGAGTTTTGCCACCGCAAGCGCCACTCACAATTTCTTCATAAAATGTAAATATCTAATTATTATTGTTCTTCTGAGACTTAAATTTCTCACAAAAACTCCTCCTAGAGCTTTCAAGCTACAACCACCAAACTGGGGCCAGACCTTCAGACTGTTCTGATTTGTGTCCTGATCTTTTCTAACTGATTTGACTTACAGTTTTCTTAAAACAGACAATAAAAACTCCCAAAATCCCATAAACTTACATAGATGAGATGTTCAAATGAGCCAAGACTATTCAACTCAAACAGAAACACTAGTCCTTTGATCTGCTTTAAACCCCATCTCTCTGTCTCTGTCTCTCTTCTATCAGGTCTTAAAACCTTTAAAAAATCTACCTTTTAAAACTACTTCAAAACCTAAAACTATTTCAAATATAAAACCTTTCATTTTAAACCTTCAAACTTAAAAACTTTCTCAAGCCAACATCAAAGTTTGTCCAGTTATATCTTGATATATCTTTATATGTCATCATGAAATTATTTTTAATTTAAATCAGTCACAATAATTTGTTTTTTTAGATTTAGACATTTTTGAGCACCTAACCAGTAGGGCTGTCAAAAAAAAAATTAGAATTTCGAATATTCGTCGAATTTAAAATAAAAATCCACATTCGAATGCAAAAACGCTGCATTCAAATTTTAGGTGTGCGTCAGGCAGCCTTATCAGTGGCGCACGAGATGCGATGACGATGTAAGTGTCATTGCATTTTAATGTTTTTGTTAGTCTATCCAGTTGAAGCCACTAGATGTGGCGCTGCTACATTGTTCATTCAAAATATTGCGGAAAAAGAGAACAATCAATGTGGAGAAGATCTTGTTTACGTCAAAACTGAAACCAAGCCGTTCACAGAGAACACGTATTTATCGCATTTTCTAGAGGGACATCTATCACTGTTGCACTCGCGTCTCGCACAAGAGAGCTGCATGTTTAGAAAGCCATGTAAAATGAATGTACGTTCAACTTAAAAAAAAAACATGTCTCAAGAGTTTTTCCCTATCCCACTGCATCTCATGTTTTTCAATTCAATTCAAGTTTATTTGTATAGCGCTTTTCATGATACAAATCGTTGCAAAGCAACTTTACAGCAAATTAAATTTCTACAATATTTAGTGGTAGCTTATCAGTGGTGACTGTCAGCTGTCTATAGCTGGACATACTGTTTTTCCACGCAATTCTA